ATTTCTAGATCTCTGCTGGGAGATCGTTTTCTGGATTTACAATGACAATTTATTTCCTTAGTAGCATTGTAAACTTGTATTTCCTCTGATGCAAGTTTTATACTGTTGTCATCGATCGTTTAAAAATTAAAGTTTCATTTTGCAATTTTTATTAAAACGTTGCATAAATGTTACAAGAGAACCAATGCCATATCATTTAAACATTACGAGTTCCATTAAATATTAAATATTAGGAGACAAATTAATAAGTTAAAATTTTAAATTAAATTACTTGAAATTGTAAAGCATAAAGGAACGTGAAAAATTATAGATTAAGCGTTAAATTACACGAGAGTCGAACTATAAATTAATACGAAGCGGTCAATTTTCATAATCATCTTCTACCTTTTTACACGTGAAAACTTCAAAACGACCGCGTGCTAGTATCGCGTGGCACGAGGCCCTAATCGGTAAGCCCGGCGAACAAAGTTCCTATAAAACTGGAACGCGAGACAACTTGTGTTCGTCGGGTCGCGACGAGTTTGACGAAGACGATGAAAAAATTACAAGCAAGAGCAGTTGCAGTTAGTTGCAAGCTATAGTGTATAGTTATCGCGAGGAAGACGAGGATCGAATTCGAAGCAAGCAGAATCCTGGCAGCGTGTATCTCGTAAATCGATCGTTACGTAGTCCGTTCTCGACTTCGCCTCGTTTCCTCGCTATATTTCGCCGGTGACTCTGTTATTCAGTGTTGTAGGCTGGTGCATTGAACTCTTATAATCGATTCTTGGAATACTTTCCACGACGATACGGTAAATACTTAAATACGCTCCGCGAATGTCCCGCGACAGCCATGTTTCGTTTCGTTTTGCAGGCGCAGCGGATGCAGAAACTGTGAAGAGAAAAAAATCGCGCAATTTGTCAGGGGGATCTGCGATCTTGGATTTAGTTTCGAGTATCTTCATTCGTCCGCCTGTTTGAAAAATATCTTCGAAACCAGCTCGATCGATAGAACGAGAACAGTTCGAAAACACTGCGAGGAGATGAAGCGAGCGAAGGAAGAAAAAAAAAAAAAAAA